TCAGAGGGATGAACATAAGTTGGTGAGCAGTTACCTACTGCCACTTGCCAAATGATTGGCGTGAAATTGATGGGGAGAAGCCCAAATGTATTGTCTCCGAATTCGTAGCCAATTGCCAGCACGAGGTAGGGTACCATAAACAATGGATATAACAATCCAGACTCGACACTTTGGAATTAGGTCAGATTCAGAATCACGCAAAAACCGAACATACTAACATGATAGCCACAATTGTTTTATACCTATGGTTTACTACAGCACCCATCACTGCACGCGCTTGACGGGTAATCCACCAAATTCTGCCAGCTTGAAGAGAGTCAGCATCATGCCACTGATAGGGTATGAAGCCGTGAAGGTTGAACAACAAACCGGTCATTGAAGTGATTATCACATTGATGATTGCATTTGCGATATTGTAGCCAGTGTTCAAAGTCGATGCCCTTAGGAATAACTGATACTTGGATTCACTGTTGGTATTACTGATCCCTATTCCTGATTGAACGATGGTCACAATGCCGAATGCTAGAGCAACGAAGAATTAGTATTGACAGAACTTGAAGAGAACTAAACGAACCGTTGATAGCAAGCGATAGGACACCAAGGATAAGCGCCACTCGTTTTCGAGACCCCCATATGACATAGCAACGATGGATCTAGATGATAATGAGGATTCGACCCGCGCGTTTGCATAACTTCAGTCGACTGACCAGCATAGAATCGGCAGTGATACTATTATCATAAGTTCAGTTCAGGACACAATGTCTGTGCACTTTCGGACTTACTTTGTCACAATCCATAAACCATTTAACATAGAACTAAGGTTATTAACCGCATTTAGTCTTGATGTAATTGGATAGTATCATGATGAGACATTACTGCTACACTCACTAAAGCGTCGATTTCAAGGTATCGTGATGGAGATAGACCCACACTGGATAATATTCGCGAGTGAGTGCGCCTTGAAATTCCCGACTAGCTTCTTGAATGTAGTCAAACGTCTCGAGAACATTTGCGACGGTCGTAAGGGCAAATAGGGTAATTGTCCAAAAGAGATACAAGTTCAGGTTTGGACGACCCTGGCGTCTGCAGAGAATACGAATGCAAATACCAAACAATATCGCATATACACCTATACGAGGCAATCTGTGATATTCGTATCCGCTGGGAGATGGCTAAGGGCAATTACCGTAAATGAAGAACATAACCTATAGTGTCGAACGGATTATCGATGAGGGAGTTCAAGTTGCAGTACCACCTAGGACTCACCGAAAGCGTGCTAATTGGCTCGATGATGATGTTGCCGACAGTTAAGAAGGTTAAGACTTGTCCTTCGACAGTCATTCTGTTAGTACTAAGGTAGTTGAGGAGGTGAAAATAATGCGGAATCATGGGGAAAGGGTCCTTTTTATCTTCAGAAATAAGGTTCAGACGTTGGAGAAGGAAGCTCTTCAATTGTTCACGCGTGCTAGTACGGGGCTGCTTCTGTTTACTAGCGGCAGTGTCTAGGAATCAGTTGCAGGAGAAAATCCTATACCGATTTGCAACCGTGCTTGTCAGCAGATTCATTGTATCCGTACCATATCTCAAGGTAATCTTAATATTGATGGATGGATCATGATCTCGCAAGACGGCTCCAGTGCTCGTACTAGTAGTACCTTGGTCATTTCAGCAGAGTGCCCAAAACCAGAAAAAACTCACCGAGTATCAAATGAAATTTTCCTTGCGACATGGACAAGACTCGATAGCGTAGACCTGATCATGGGAACCGAGAAGTTGTGGCTCTGGAGTCTGGACTCGGAGTAAGTCACGTGGTGACAGCCGCTGTAATTTGCCCATTTTGAGCTGGCGCTTAATCTCAATGATCCCAACTATGATCTCCATTCATATCATTGCGAGATCATCATGGGGGCACCACTGCCTTTAAGCAAGTTTCAAGTCCAGTTATATCCAAAGACCTCAACTCTATTGAAAGGCTTACAGAAATACCGATCGATATACCATAATATCATCGTGCGATTTGCGTGCGATACATCGACATGGTTTATCTGTGGTATACCGCCCTCACTCACCTTAAAGAAGGGTATAACGTCTGCTTATAGGATACTATTCATCTGTAGGATTTCGGGATCAGTACCCATGCGTCGAGCGCATTTTGGTACTTTCCGTGCGATCGCAGCGATGCAATGTTCGGCCAAGCTGGTGTTCTGGGGAATGTGCTTCTGGGAGAGTCGATCCGATGGTATTATCACTATACATAAAGACAGTGGTTGTTCCCGTGTGCCAGGATCTCCCCATCATGTCCGACAACGAATCACTCGAAGAACATTTGGCTCCCTACGTCTCTGTGGAGAATGTCATCGTCCAGCCAGTCAGTACAGTCTCGGTACGCATTTCATTGCTAGTGATAAGCCATTGAACTAATTTGGATGCAATATACAGACAATGTTATTTTGTCACGGTAAACCAGACTCGAAGCTTTCCGTTTTCACATGTGCGCTGACAATTTTTATGCCAGGGATTTATCTCATGATTTTCGGAGTATGCTTGCACGTTTTGTTGAGACGTCGTGAACAGCCAAACCGCAAATTATACCTTGGATGGACCATCTCTCTGTTTATCTTGGCGACGACACTCGTAGTGATCCAAGCATATATTCTCATACGCCAGTCAGTTCTACAATTCACGTGGGCAAAGAAGCAAGATTGGGAGTCCCTTTTGGTGTACGTACAAACAGATCGGCTTGTGACTATTGGCTTGTGAGTACCGTCGTATACCCTGGCATCGCAGCATGTTTAAACGTCACTATTTTGAAGCACGATTGGAAACTTGATACCTCTCCTCATGAAGTTTGTCTCTTGATGATTCTTTGGATTTCCCCGATTGCTGATGCGAGTAGTGCAATAGCTGACTCGATTCTTGTATGACAATGTCACGTCTTTTCTGATAGAATGAAGCTCATAGTTTTCTTTTCAGATTCATCGCTGCTACATCATATGGGATTCTCGGTTTTGGGTAGCCATTCCCCTCTGCTTTTCGTGGTTCGGAATAAACTGTAGGTGGTACTGTTCTCTGTTGCGGTACTTATTCGTGTGCAATCCACTCAACATCCAACAGTGGTTGGTCTCATAGCCGTCATCCTGGGATCTATTGCATACGAAAAGGCTAGTCTGGACTTACTGATCAAGAGCGGAAACCTAAACACGGGATACTTCATTGCAAATGTGATCATCAATGGTATCATTACTCTTCTTACGGGTGCGGGGACTACAGCATTGGTTAACCCTATTTTTGGTGCTGATGCTTTGCTGGTAGCGGATAGGATATGGAAAATCAACCGCGAAGCACACAAGGTGGTTGGCTACACCTCGAATCCGCAATTGCAGCGGGTAATGGCTATCATGTAGGTTTACTCCCATCAAATTTTCCGAGAAGGAAGCTCAGTATAATTCTAGCTTAGAATCTGGTGCTCTATATCCCGCATTTCTTATAGCGTATGGGGTTATGCAAAACACCGTTGCCACCGATACCGGAATCCAGCCAATCAATTTAGCACCGATTGTGGCGCAAGTTGCGGTAAGTTTTCAAGGACTTGAACGCGGTTCCGTGATCAATAATACCACGCAGGGAATCGCCCCGACCTTGATCATAGCCCGAGCAGGAATGGGGATAGCGGCGGAAAACGTGGACCAAGTACTTTCCACATTGGACTTTGCTGAGAATAGGCACACAGACTCTCAGTTACGCACGACAGATATCGAGAGGGACGACTTCAACAGTTCTGTCAGTGAATCGACTCCGGACGCGGAAAAAAGAGTTCATCGAAGGTTAGATGAATTGTAAAGAATATCTTTCATGTCAGCTCGGATATTTACCTTCCTTGTGTCTGCCTGTGCGTGGTGCGTGGGAAATGCGAATTAAGCACAGGCTAGGCGCCAATTACACGTCACGTAACACCAGCACTGTTCTCCGCCCATTGGGCCCAATGTCCCTCCTCCACTATTCAATGCTCGTGTCTCAAATCCCAAGGACCGGTTAATCACAACCCAAACCAGATTCAAAGATGCTATCCTCCCGTAAACTAGTCGCTTTCCCATTTTTTGTGGTGAACGGTTCGGCCATCCGAATTGGCGATTTCCAACTTCCATCTCGGCGGCCTTTGGGAATAGCTAGATGACGAAAGGGCAATTGTAGCTCTTCTCACAAAGGGTATCACATTGAATGATTGGGAACGCTGCGCTTAATGCCAATGAGGTACTCACTCTATTGACTGGTATAACTCCCGATTAACACTCGCCATGGTCTTGGTTTACAGTTTCATTTCAGTAAACCGTTTACTGAAATGAAACTCCTCGCAGCCGGACGTATACGGTGGACTAGTCGCCAAGAAAGGTCAACGCATCAACTCAAAGTACCGGACTATCATCGCAATCATGTATATCTATTCCTTTTACTCGATCACCGTGATTAAAACTCGCTTTAGATTAGAGTCCGGATCCCTCTACCCAACATCAATAATCGTATACCTCATAATCGCCAACACGCCAACACAGCGGGGATTTTACCTATCGATTTGTACCCTGTCGTGTGGCAGGCAGCTGTAAGTTTACTTTGCCTCCTTTCTGTTGTTCTGCTTGCTGAACAGTTATCAATAGGGAATAGCCCCGACATTAATCATTGTCCGGGCAGGAAGTGGGAAAAGGTGTGTCGACGTTACACTTTGCTGATGCGCCACAGAGTCTATGGAGGCTAGCGAGTCGGTTCAGGAGCGATTCGGCGATACAAAACAGGACAAAGTTGACATTACTTTCCACTGACTCAAAGCGAAGGGAGAATAACATACATGATGTGAGAGACTCTCATTACCGACATAACACTCAAAATTACCCATTCAGTGGTGAAGACTAGTTTCTGTAGCGGATAGCCAATGCTTCCTGGTATAAACGATCCGTGTGGTGCCTGGGAAGTGTATACTCGAAAAAAATCAGAGTCGGGTTCGGAAGTTCCGTTACAGGGAATCGAACCCTGGGCTATCGCGCTTTTATCTACGACATACTGGGAGATGAGAGGCGATAATGTTAGCCACCACACCATAACGGATGTGTTCATTAAGTAGTTTCCACAAACCATACCCCAGTCTTCAGGGCATCTCGGCCAACGTTGATTAGTTGGAGCGTTCCCGCACTTCCACACCAGTGGTCAATGTATCCTACGAGACCGAACACACAACCCGTGTCTATGGAGGCTAGCGATCAGGAGCGATTCGATACAACACGGGACACGGTGGCTATTGTTTCGCCTGGCTCTCTGAATTCATTCTGCTTGTGCACTCTCGGGTATCGGGTAGTAGTGGATTAGATGGACAATTTCAACGGGTTGATGTCACGTACCATTAGCCCATTACATTGTTTAGCATCTTAATTACATCCTCAGGCTAGATTAATTACGGAGAAATGTGGAAGGTAACCGAAAATGAAGGCTGTAACCGGGAAGTCGACAGGGCACCAAGAACGTAGGCAGTACTTGTCCCCCCTCAAGTTCAAGTCAGTGCTGTTCAATAGTATGAACGATGATTAAGAAATCAGGCATAGCAATTAATTCAAAAGATATTTATTCAGCTCCCCGTCCAATCCCAATCTAGGCAGTGTATTTCAAGCAGCCACAGAAATTGGGTAAATGTGTTTATCGACACCATTTGGCTTCCAGATATGACGTTAACAACTCCCGATTCAGCCACTTTTTGTTCAATTCTCGCCCCTTTGATGCACTTGGGATGAGCGAAAGGCAGTTTCTTGTTCATGCTCCAATAACGCATAGGTCTCAGGTCCGAGTCCTTATCTATCTCTTCCCAAGGCCACCCCCCAAGTTACGGTAAAGTCGGGAAGAGTGGAACAAAAATCATTTCATCGAGCATAAAGACTTGGAGGTGCACGAGGCACGATGTTCAAACCTGAGCGGTACTGAGTACTGAGTGGTTGAACCAACTATTCCGTAAGTGAGACAATTGTGAAGGAGCGGAAAGAACTGCATGCCGGAAAAAGTGGGTATGTAACCTACCACAATTCCGTTACAGGGAATCGAACCCTGCGCTATCGCGCTCTGACAAGTAATACACCGAATTGACTAGTGAGAGGCGATAATGTTAGCCACTACACCATAACGGAATTGAACTCTTTCTTTCTTGTCTTGGACTCATCTCTTCTTTTGGGGTGAAGAACTAGACAAGGTAGGTAGGTTTTTCATTCGTACTCTATAGAAAAAAGTTTGGGATTCATAGGTACGGTGTAAAGCGTAAAAAGAATTCGTACACAAGAAAAAAGAGTCAGCGTCAATAAACGATCGACGGTCGGTACACTAAGTAAAGTCCTTTTCATTTTGCTCAATCCCTTGCACCACTTCCCCCTTCTCCATTACCTCCACTTCCACCCCCGACCCCAGCTGCCGAGTGATCCCGGAGAACCGAACAAAAATCCAGAAGGGACTGAGCTCCTGCAAATGCCAAAGAGTCCCGGGCCGGGATGCGAACCTTGCTGGAGTGCGCGCTACTCGTTAGTGGCAGTACTACCGTGACTCAACCAAAATCCCAAATTAGCACGCTGAACATTCTAAATTTCAGAGGCCGGATTGTCAAAATTCCAGCCTGAGGTATTTTAATAGAGTGTGGCATCTATATACATACCATGACACGCGAAAGAATCCCATTACAGGGAATCTATAGACGGTCACGGTAAGGTTAACCCCTACATACATCTTTCCTTTTGGACTTTCGTGCTCTATATATGAAGTAGAAAAAATGTTTACACCTAGTACAATGGTATTCCGTTACAGGGAATCGAACCCTGGGCTATCGCGCTCTTACACAGAGTCCACCTCGTTGATATGAGAGGCGATAATGTTAGCCACTACACCATAACGGAGTGTGCACTTGCCCTTGTAACTCATCTGTATTCCCTTGAATCTGGACTGAAGACCTAGACAGATAAGTAGGTATTACTACATCTTTTTCATTCGTACTCTATGCTAAATGCTAAAGAAAGTGTTCATAGGCGTAAGTAAAAACGTAGCGCGTAAAAGAATTCGTACACAGAAAAAAAAGTCAAGTATCAGAGTCAAGGTAACGATCGGCGGTACACAGTAAAGCATCCTTTTCATTTTGCTCAATCCCTTGCACCACTGCCCCCTTCTCCATTACCCCCAGCACCACCACCTGCACCTTTCACATCCCTACTCGCACCTCCACTCAAACCCGGCAAAATGGACTCATAAGTCGGCGGAATCTCATCCCTCGCAGGTCCCGCATCCCTATGCACCAAAGGTCCTTCAGCAAGGTACGTACGATGCTGCTCCCCAAACTCCTCATCCGGGTTCGCTACAGCCAGCCTCTGTTGATGTTGCTGGGCGGAAGCTGACCCAGACGGCTGCGAATAGTTTGACTGAGACTGCGACTGGGCGTCAGACGGCGCAGACGTCGACGCGCTCATTCTCCTTCCATTTGGCGAGCCGTTTCCGTTGTTATAATACGTATAAGACGAAGGCCCATAAGGTGCAGGCTGATTCGGATGATGTTGCGGCACCGGCATACCCCCAGCAAATCCACCATACGCCTCTCTTTCCTTCGCTAGCCTTCCCGGGCTCATCCCCGCACCTGCACCCATACCGCCGGAATGCGACGAAGACACCACGCTGGGTGCGGTAGTAGGTAGACTAGGTCCAGGGGACGGATGCCTCCAATCACCAGCACCTGCCATAGCACCGGTGTAATGGCTGTCAGTCGTAGTAGGCGACTGAGGTGGCGGTCCGTAGGGATTGGGGAAGGTTGTTTGGCTAGGATGTGGGGAGTGTCCGTGTCCATGGCCTGGTGCGAACAAGGGGTATGGTGATACAACACCTCCGCCAACGGAAGCGGCGTTCAAACGACCGCCCATACCGTCGTCTTCGGTATCGTCGATGGGTATTTGGGGGAGTGTTGGTGCGCCTGGTGGATCTCGTCGGCCTGTTGGTGTTATCATTCATTAGCACCTCAAAGAAAAAACACAAAGAAAGAAGGGTAAAAGGAACACGCACTCAAAACACCACCCCCACCCGGTCTCTGACTCATCCCACCAACTGCACCACCAGACGAAACAACCCTATCAGGATCAAAGTTCCCGTCGAATTCCTCAATGGCTTTTCGTAGTCTCCAGCGTTTGTACGCCCAAACAGCTAACGCAACAAGAATCGCTAGACCAGCGACACCGCCTACGACGCCTCCTGCTATTGCGCCTGTGTTACTATCGGACGAGGAGGCAGGGGATGTGACGACGCTCCCTGGGGGAAGGGTGGTGCTGGTTTCGAAGACTGTTGTTTGGGTTTGTCCGTCTGGGGCGGTGGTTCTGTGGCATTGTTAGTGAAAGCAACGGAAAGGAATGGAGCCACGCACATGACAGTGACCTGTGTAACAGTCGCCTGTGGTGTAGTCAATGTACTTTCTGTACTTTGTTCTGTCGTTGAAGGAGGTGCGCTTTCGCTGCCGCTGCCACTACCTGTGGGTGTACCGCTGCCATTTCCTGTTCCTGTTCCGGTCCCGGTGTTGGTGTCGGTGTTGGTGTTGGTGTTGGTAGGCGGTTCAGATGTCGGCGACGTAGGCGGAGGAGCGGATGTCGGTGAAGTTTCTGGTTCTGATTGTGTAGTCGGAGGAGGAGAGGATGCGCCTGTGTCAAAGAAAAAGAAGGGGCGTTAGTAAGCTCAAGAAAAAAACGTGGAACGACGATAAGAAAACGAAACTTGTAGCGGAATCAGACGAAGGCGGGGGTGTAGTAGGCTCGGAAGAGGTGGAAAGGGGAGGCAAAATGGTTGGTATTGATAATGATAACGAGTCTGAAGACATCGTTCAGGGTAAGAAGGCAAGGGAAGCAAGGGGGAAAAAAGGCTGGCAGGGCTGGCTTGCGGTTTACGTGCGCACGGGTGCCGAGAAACCGAGAGATAAGCCGTTTTGTTGCGAAACAAGCCTCCGCCTCGTTTGATAGTATGTGTATGTAGTGAAAAAGAAAGAAGAAACAAGCGAAAGAGCTTACCGGACGACATGGTTGGATGGAGTAGAGCGTCGTAACAATCGACGCAAGAGGCGAAACGACGACAAAAAGAGCGCTGAATTGAGTGGTGTGGGTTGTTACTCCCTGAAACGTACACGTGCGAACACATGGTGATGTCATCCGCTCCAGACCCATTCTGCCCTCACACATGCATCCAAAGCTTCCATTCATACCAGCCATTACATTGTCATTTTTGCCTCTTCGCCTGCATGCCTCTTAGCTCTAGACATTCCTCAACTAGCCTGCTCCCGCTCCCGCTTTCCTTCCACCGCAAACGATCGCCCAATGTTTCTCCGACAATCGGATTCCGCTTCTCGGGAAGCGGATCTCCATCCCACGTTGCGTAAGCTCCGGTATGTCATTTGCCGCCGGCTCGCACGCTGCTTATTTTTGTGTTTTTTCCCCTTCCCCTGGGCCCGTTCCTGGCAACGCAAGGACGTCGACATCATCAACTGCGTCAAGGAACTTTCGGGAACCAACTCGCATTGGGAGGACCATTATGGACCTCTTAGTGTGGAATGGAATAAATAGTGCGGGAACACGCGTACGCTTCCAATTGACCGCAGCACTCTCCATGCTCCACCTCAACTCCAACCAATCAATGGCGCGTTCTATTGTTGGCCGAGATGCCCAGTACGCTGGGCTATGGTGTAGGAAAACTGGTGCACTAGCGCCTCCGTTATGGTGTAGTGGCCAACATTATCGCCTCTCATCCCCTGAAAGCATATTTGTGAGCGCGATAGCCCAGGGTTCGATTCCCTGTAACGGAACTATTGATCTCTTCCTTATTTTTCCTTCACTGGACTTTCCAAACCTGTACCGAGAGACCTCATATATAGTTTTCATGCATATCTCTATTCATCTTTGAACGAGGACAGCAATGCGCCACTGGTCATGGGCAGCGAAATGTTGTCTTCGTGCCTCGTCTTTGTGCTTAACCCATCATTTCTAGAATCCCCAGCTCTGGTGTCAGCGGCAAGAAACTGGTGCTCGGAAACCACTTCACTGCCCACAGCTTCACGGACGCCATGCCATTCATAACTGCCCGCTCCCGGAAGCATTCTGCCAATAGACTCCGGTGCTTATTACTGATTTTCCGGGCTATACCACAGGTACACATTACCATTGCTACATCCGTTATGGTGTAGTGGCTAACATTATCGCCTCTCATATCGAAGATTCATCGGAAAGGATGCGCGATAGCCCAGGGTTCGATTCCCTGTAACGGAAATTCTACCGCAGAGTTCCAGTTTTTCTGTATGCCAAATTTTGTCTTCCCTCACAATTCTTTTTGCTTATGCAACTCCTACTTCAACTGTAGGGACCACAGAACGTTTGCACTTGGAAGCTCAAATGCTACCGTCCTCAACAGAATTGCTCAAAGTGTTCACACCGCCATTTACCATCGAGCCATCTCCAGAATCTCCAGCTATAGTATCTGTGGCAAGAAAACCGAAAAACTACTTCACTCCCCAGCATCCTTCACATACGCGTGGCATTTTATCGCGTCGTCAAGCCCAGGCCCGGGCTCTATAGAAAGTTGAATCTTGCACGGCTGATCATTCAGAATTCTAGCTGTTCTGAAATCTGATCGGGAATACCCATTCTGGAATCACTCTACTGCTCTGGATTCGGGACTAATCTCGATTGTTGTTAGCGTTCAGTGCCTCACAAACGTGTACGCGTAGGTCATTCTCCGGTACTTACTGTGTTCAATCCATTTCGTTCTGATGGGAATACATTTTTGGAACACACCGATGCCAGTACTTCCGTTATGGTGTAGTGGCTAACATTATCGCCTCTCATTCTTTGTGATATAGTTGGTGCGCGATAGCCCATTCGATTCCCTGTAACGGAAATTCTACTGCAGTACTCCAGCTTTTCTGTATGCAAACTTCACATCCCCCATGGCAATTCTTTTTGCCTACCACAGAATGTTAGCTCAAACGCTAGGATTGCCCAAGTGAGTCGTCATTGATGTCTTTGTTTACACCTCTTGCCTTTGTTTACCATCAGAAATCCCCAGCTCTAGCTCCAGTATCGGTGGCAAGAAACTAAACATCGTTCCCGAAAAACCACTTCACCTCGCGAGCATCCTTCACATACGCGTGCCATTTTGACCGGGGCTGAGGAAGATACCTATAAAATGTCGACACTTGCACGGCTGATCGTTCTAGCCCACACGCGGCTTTATTCTGGACTTGAATACTTATTTTTAGGCTAAGACTGGGATCACCTGCTTCCCGGAAACATTCCTCCACTGTTCTCCGCCAATGACAGGTAAGCGTTATACACAAGTCAGTCTCACACCATATTGAGATTGGTACTTACCGCGCTTGCAGACAGATTCCGTTATGGCCTCTCATGGCATCTTTCAAAACATTACTTAAGAGCGCGATAGCCCAGGGTTCGATTCCCTGTAACGGAACTAATCCAGTAGGCTTAGACTCATATTTTTACGCGCAGCATGTAAGTTAGAGTTCGTAGCATTCCAGACTCCAGTTTGACTTTGTAGTGTTCACATGCAGATCTTACACTCTCGAGTCAAATAGTCAAATATCCATCCCAGTTATACGCCACGCCACTAATCATAGGCGGCTAATTTCTTTCAAGTCGTAACTTGTTCGTCTCCGAGTCTTTCATGTTATTCCCAAGTACTTTACTCCCCGCGCGCTCTCAGGATTTTATACTCTCCTGCTCGTTCAAGGAGCTCATCGTGATGTTATCGTGGTGTAGTCGGCGTCTCATTAGATAATTCAGGGTTCTAACTGGTGATTATGGTTGCTGAATATTTTTTCCGAGTCGCGCATATCATGGTAGAGCCTTGCAATTTCTTTTCGCTTATGCGATCCCGACTTGCCAGGCGCCCAGAATCACCATCCCTCGACCGAGTTCGCTCTCCTTGAGCGCTGCATCATTACAGAGACACATGCACGCTACTATCTCCGTTATGGTGTAGTGGCTAACATTATCGCCTCTCATAGCAGTTTCTCTCATTCGAGGCGCGATAGCCCAGGGTTCGATTCCCTGTAACGGAACTGTCAACGAATATATTGTGGTTTTTTCGAGTTTTCACGAGCGATGGATTCAATTTCGCATCCCCTGTGTAGATTTCCTCAGTCTACAGATGTCATGTTGTGGATGTTACGAGCGAGTGCTAGCTAGATCCTCCTGCTTACACCGTACCCGCATTCCTTTGCTGAAATCCCCTCTAGTTAGGTCAGTGATTCAATAATATGTACATTCACTGTCGACGATGGAGCACCAGACTTTCAAGGCAATGGTAGATTGGACATTCTTCCGAGTCATGCCCCGAGCCCGAGTCGTCCCAAAATTCAAGTAAAGCATCGTGTCGTTATGAACCAGCGCAAGTCTCAAAACGATAAACCTGCACATATGCCGCCAATTCGTTGATTATCTACCCCATTCTAATTTTCCAGACAAGTTGTTTGAAAAAGTATAACGTGCATGAGCATCGAGTAACCGTGTTGTACCCGTTGAGGGAGCAGGATAGATACAGGCGGTTGCGACGAGAGGTGTGCCATAGGTGTTCCTATAGTTCATATGTGGACCCTTCAGGATACTACAACCGCAAAAACAACGGCGAACCGAGGAGTCTGTTCACTCAGAGAACCGGGAGAATCCCGTGATTTAACTGCAGTAGTACATGATTGAGCATGTGGTTCACGAGGCTGAGATATTCAAGACTCAAGAGTCGCACAAGATTGTTTAATATACGTTCAGTCGGCTCCAAGATAAGAGCTTCGAGGCTAAAACCATGCATCATCGTCAACAATGAACTGCCTAAAATATGGTCGACAAGAGTTTGTAAATAACGGTGCAGGGGAATACGAAGTCACTGCCATGTAGTTATCAGCACCTATGAGGGGATTCCAGTGACATCACCGTAGCTTGGCTGTCGCCGCCGTCGACATTGACGAGGATCTCTGGCCATCGTTCTCATCCGATGATCGTCAGGCCACGTTGATCGCATCAATCAATCTTCCAGGTCAAAGCGCTAAAATTTCACCTGTCTTCTCCAACCTTCATCGTCGTCTTTTAGTCACCTTTCGTTCCCATCCAGCAAGATGGTGGTTGTACGTCTCGTGACAGGGCTACCACAATATAGTTCCCTTGGAGCCCGCTCTCACACTATCCCGATCACAATCAACACCATGACTATCTCGGCGTGATCAAAATTGAGATACAAGTCGACAAATCATTTCACTATTACTCTCATTTCCCAACCGAAATTTATTACTGAAGACTTTTATAGAGAGCTTTAAGATACACATTTATGGCTCAACCTCGTTTGGGCTGGCCTTGAACTTGCATCATACTCGCTGATAAGTAATGCAAAGTACCGCTACTGACATACTCCCCTGTATTTATATATGCCCCTACAATACCGAGTGCCCGAAGCTCAGAAGAGGCCGGAACACAACAACATCCATGGGTGATGGTGGTGGTTGTTCTTGTCCTGAAAGTCAAATCAAGGAGCCCCAGTTTAAAGATATTTCACGGCAATTCTCGCCCTCATGTCCAAGTCTGACTCATGAATATCCCTTCATCGACGGGGTCTTTCTCTTGAGCTCATGAACGACAAGAGAAAACGTGGTTTTTGGGGATTTCGATGGATCCTGAGCTGTCTTGAGTCAATTTGTGCCAACACAGTGCGCTGATAACAACTTTGGTGAAAGGTCTAGTAGATGGCAACGTTACACATCAGGCTCGGTCCTAAGGAGTTCATAAACGATACAATAAATACAAACGCTGATAAATAGAGTACATAACGAAGCCTACACGTTAGGGCGCCAGTTCTCCTGCTTTTGTTGGGAAGAACTCTCGTCAATGACAGTGCTATTGGGCCCGATATTGGTCAAGTTGGTATCCGTTTGGCCAGGTGTAAACCTCAGAGTCGAAATTTGATGCGTCTCTCGTACATTTGTGTTGGCATCATGAGCGTTGCTGAGATTCTTGCCAACAGTTGCATTGTCCGATATACTTCGTTGCATATAGACTAAAATAATAATTATGGTCGGATAAATGCCCTAAACGCATCTTCAGTCAGAGTTCACGTTGAAACAACACCGGAAACTCACAGAGATTTGATCACCCATAGTGCTCAAAAACACGTAAAGATAAGTAGCGAAGCTGAGACCTTGAAATTCAAAGAAAAGGGCGAGTTGAGATAGCTTCGATGGATTATCCTAAGTGAAATGCATTTCTGTGCAGTGAAGCCGACCTCACCCAGAATAAGCAATAGATGAAGCCAGATTCGACAAGAATCACAAGTATTCTCTCGCTTTTGGAGTGGTAAACGGAGGCTCCTTCCCGCAAGAAACGGCGATACTGCCTGCCCCGCCATAAAGCAAGTTAGGACATGAAAGTATGTCAAGTGCTAAGATATAAGACGTACCAAGCCCTCACAGCTATTAAACTTGTTGACGTGATATTTGTCAATAGAGATATCCCCCATGCTATTGATTCACCCCATTGGCAAACTCTGGATCCTGCAGGAATGGCACTCTGTCTGAAGCCAAATCCATTGGTAGCGAGACAGTCCAACGCAATAACAGCGAATGCTATCATCCGATGAGCTGAATATTGACTAGAGACGGTTGTAACTCACCAAATGACGCGGATAGCATGACCATGGGGATGTAAACTAATGGATATAGCCGAGTACCTTTGCACAGCGTCCATGCTCGCCAAATGACTACCGCGTCGCCGATGATCATCTGTGCCCAAGGTTAGCTGGGCTTTCAGAGGGTCGTGAACTGTATGGTTTGAACTCACATTTGAGAGGAACAGTGTCTCCATTGGCAGTCCAAATACAACGATCTCCGTGTTCATTTGCACAAACCTATCATACACGCTAAGTGTCGGGTATTTCAAGAAGTACGCTTTGATCCCCATTGAAAACTGCGATACTTCCATGGCCCATAACGCGGTAGAGGAGGAGAAGAGAATGATTGTCACGAGGAGAATGATAATGCTGGGAATAGTGCGAAAACCTCGAGCCCTAATAGTGACATAGGACGGTTAGTTGATTGAAACCAAAACCGGGGACACCACAATGAATCAAGATACGTACATCTGAATCTTCATTGCGAAACAAAAAAGAACTAGATAGATGGCCCAGAATCCTGTCTCGCATACGACTTCAACAGAGCTCGTCGACAAGTACCATCCAAGGTGTTCGAGAAAAATTTGGTCATCACTGGACAGAGACTCAGAGTTCGACTCGGACATGGAAGGAGAGAATGAGTGAGATTCAAATCATCTCAGCAGCGCTATGCCTTATATACTTATAAGCATCAAATTGGCACTGGTAACGTGTGGGAAGACATTCCAGAAACCTAGATACTAGTGTGCGAAAGACATCAAATTGCTTTATCGTAGTGGAAAGCAGTGATGAAGGGAAGCAAGGAACCTCAAATTATATTTCGCAAACCTTATTTTTTTGCGCTTCTCAGATCTCAGACTTCGCCGAACACTTGGTGACTTTGATTTCATTGATCATCCGTGCCCGCTAGAGCCTAGCGTAAGGCGTTGGCTGTATGCGGTGATATTCTCGGCAATTGCCGGCCTCATGTCGAGCCTTACATATCTCCTTGCTTCACGTCATCTGCATCCCAATCTTGTGGGTACCATCGGGGTGAGTCGATGCATTTTAGCGTTCATTGATTCCCCTCTGTGACCATAGTCCTCAGAAAACTAATTTGCCTGATCCTCAAAGTGATGCTGATTCGATCCATGTGCATTTCCGACTAAGGCTCTGAAACTGGAGACGTACATACTGCCAAGGAGCAGTCTATTGGCCAGGTACTAAGGAGTCGACCATTGATCAGTTGAGCTGCGAGCGCTTGTGCCTAGTATTCTCTGTTTTTATTGGCGCATTACTGAAAACTTTATATCTTTGGGGTAGTTCTTCGTGATGTCACTCTTATCGAATATATCGAGGAACGGTCGGCGAACCGTGGTGCTCAATTAGTCCAGCTACGACAGCGCCTTTATTAATATCACAAAATTGACCTACTAAACTTGAGATTCCCACGTGCAAAGTATGGCCGCAATTTTGGTGACTGCACTCTTGAATTTTCCCGAATTCTCTGCTTAAGGATTCTCAGCACTCAATCTGCTACACTATTGGCGTACGTTACAGACTGGGAACTCGACGACTAGATTGGGTTCTCGGGATTAAGACATTCGTTATGACTTTTCTATGGTGTCAATTTGGCATGGACATTTCGCTGAACAGAATCGTTCAAAGATCGAGCTTCACTTGCGAGCCTCAGAAAGATGAAGTGCCAGGCATTTGCGCCGTGCTCATAACGGGCTACAGCTGAACGCGATAATATTTTGTGACTAGAGCGCCGAATGTTGGAACTCAATTGTGAGTGATATATAGATATTAAGTATCTACAGACTCAAACTTGGGCTAATGAAAGCGGTTCAACGTTTCAATAGTGATTTATTTCCAATGTTGTTTAGCCCGGATCCTACTAGCATACCATCAAGATGGAGAATCAAGATTTAGCCCCAGCTCGAAAGCACCGCCTCGTCACTTTGCCATATACCCCAACCAATTTCCCGTATTGGGCTTGCAACATATACGTTAGAAGCTCTAGGCTCACAAGTGATTTTGGGGGTGCTGTACAGCGTTCTTGTTAACACCGAATTGCTATTCCACCTAGTTGATCATCTTTTGATAGATCCTCACACCTTTTCCAGAGACAACTTAATTGGCATTGTTCTCCACGGTGTCCCGCCACTGGGAAATCTCACTGGTTAGCCACTATCTTTTCTATTTCCAATCCTGACGATGTGATCCACATATCAGCTCATATGCTGATGATGGGAATGAGCTATAAAAATGTATGGTCAACACACGGGAAGGACCAAACTTTCTGCTCGGTATATATCCCTTGAATCTATTGAAAGACGTGGTGAAACATCAACTGATGAACTATATGAGGGTTATATTATCGTGCGATACACCCGATACGGTCTATCAGTACGCCTATACGTCGAG